TTTTTGAGTTTTTTTTTCTTCTCTACAACTAAAATAATGAATTCTTAACCTATATATATATGAAAACTCTCCACTACTAACTCAACCTTAATGAACTCTGATTCTAGGTTGTGAGGATCGGTAAAGGGTAGCGACACACAGGACACACATGATTAATTTGCAGCCAAGACACAATACATTGTAGATGAAACACATGATCACATGGCATCATGTAACATTCATCATCAACATTTAACTCCTTGCATATAGGACAACACTCACCCTGTGTGGTAACCTTAGATTTCTTCAACGACCTTTGAATGACTTCATTGGAAGCAGGAATCATTCCCTGTACGGACTCCTCCATGGCCGCAAGCAAGCCATTGTCAATGAGGGTAACTTCCAACCGCAAAGGGATCTCACGGCGATCAAACTCTGAAGAAGGAGAAAAAGAAGCAACACCTTCAACATGGAAGAGTTCTCGAACATCACATATCACACCTTCTGCTATTTCCTCAAGAGATTCAATAAAGAATTGAATACGCGATAACAGTGTTTGCAAGAACTGACCCTCTTGGAAGAACCTACGACATGTTATGGTTTGAGAGGGAGAGTGTAGTAAGAGTGTTGGGGGTGTGGTGTTGAGATAAACCCTAATTGTAAACCTGAAAACATCACCATGCATCAACTTCTTCTGATTCCACTCAAAAGTTGACACCCGGTACGAGTAACGCGGTTCCCTTCGTTCTGAATAAGCCATGCAAAATTAAAAACTGTAAATTAATTATTTAATCTCAAAATAATAATAATTAACTCATCTACTTGTAAAGCTTAATTACCTGCGTGTATATAACATGAAGCCATGGCTATTTCTTTCTTTGTGCAGAAAGAAAAAAAAGAATGATCTCCTTGAATAGTCTCTGAAAATTAACTTTGCATGAAGAATAATCTTTATATAGACGAACACTTTTCTTTCTATTTTTTTTATGATGGGTATAGAGATAGATGATAAATTTGATTATGTATATTCTTTTCTTTTTGAATAATGAGTGGATAGATGATTGGTTCAATTATATTTACCTGGGATGCAGTCATTAAGTATTTGAATAAACGGCTCAAATTGGTTTTTGTTAAAGGATTAATATATATTAATTTAACATTTGATAAATTAAGCCGAATTATAATTATCTTTAAAAAGAATTGATGTAATTGATTATCTTTAAATATCACTGCACCATCTTATCCGATAATTGAATGAGTAAAGATTCAGAAAAATTACATTCGAACGAGATTTATAAGAAATATATCTCCATGCAACTCTCCATAAAATGAAATAATCATCTCTCTAAAGGTGAGGTGGGATTAGAGAAAAGTTCATTGTAATTAAAGAATGTTTGAATATTCAAATTATGATAATTCAAATAGGATAATTATTTTTATAATTTCTATTTTAGATTTATTTGAATTTGATCTAAGTTATATCATTTATCATTTAAAAGATTTTATAAAATATTTTTAACTTAATTTACTTTTTTATATACTTTACTCAAAATTAAAAAGTATGCCTGCAATTTGGTAGAAATCGCTATTATCTACTCCCATCGATAATTTTTTTCTTTTATTTTTTTTCTTCAAATTTTTTACATTTTACATATTTTAACAATTGTTATTCCTACTCTGACTTTCATTAAAGATATTAAATGGAAGTATTTTAAACTTAACATACTGATATTAAATATTTCTTAAAGAATATACAAAAACCTTAAGCATAAAAAATTATGATACAAAAGGAGGAATAAAATTAAAATATTTCAAAAATAGGTTTTTCTTTTACACCAAGGTTGTGAAAATAGGCTAACTCAACCCTATTATCCTAATTAATGATAGATTCGACTAATTCAAGATATATTATAGTTAGGTTTTGAAAAAATTAAATGTAATCTTAAATTAACTCAAATCAAAATTTGATTTTCTTTTTGGGTGAGTGAGAATATTGCGGGTGAAGGAAAAAAATCACTTTTTATAACTTTTTCAATTAATTAATTTAAAATAGTATTAATTTTATTAATTAAAATATTGTTTCAAAAAAAGAAGTGATTATTATTGTTACCTGAGTATACAAGTATTAAATAATAGTTCTTGCTCTTCAACAATAACGATTGAGACACTTGTAAAAAAATTCTCACACTCAAGTTAAAGAAAATATAGTTAATAGAATATGAAATGGATTAAAATAATAAAAGAAAAAAAATAAAAAAAATACTAAAATAATAGGTGAAAGAGGAAAATATAAAAGTAAAATAAAGAGTATTTATAGATTGACAAAAGAGCAAACTTATTATATTCCACATTGGTGGCCTCGTACAATTAAATATTAATTACAATTTACACAAGAGAGCAAATTTTTTTGTACGTGCTTATATTCCAAATCAATGGCCATATACAATTCAAACAACAAATGTTGGCATTAAAATTTCAGAAATTTCTACCCATTAATTACAGCCTTCCAAAGTTAATGACACTAGTACAACCAGCATAATCCATTCAATCAAACAATCACAATATCACATACATATTGCCTAATTTTGATGACATATATACTCACCGCACAAAAAGTATTAATGAAAAAATATTACATGAATGACACGGAACTTACTAAGAATTTATTATCTCATTCTATTATAAGTATAGTTTTAAGTTATTTTATATAGATATAAAACATTAATCAACATATAAAAAAATAATTTTATAAAATTAATTTTATGATTAAATTTTTTTATTGGAAACAATATATCACAAGATTTACTTTCTACGTATATATATATATAAATTTAAAATATATACTAATACAATAAATAAATATATATATATATATAAAAATTAAAAATATAAATAAAATAGGTAATATTACATTGAAATACTAATATGAAACTTATTTTAAGATTTCTTTTAATACAAAACAGATGGAATATATTATATTACCTCTAATATTAATTATAAATAACGTACGACAAATTACCAAGATCAAGAAATATAATTAATTAATATAATTAATTTTTACAATAAATTTATATTTTATTTTAAATATACACTTTAAGTGATTGTTGTTATTTATAAGTGAATACAAGATAAATAAAATTAACAATAAATAAAGAATATAAAAAAATTTACCTTCAATAATTTTAAAAATTAATGACCGTTACTTATATTTAAAATCAGAAGAAAAAAAATAATTTATTATTTATAATTAAAACAATAAGTATTATTTAAAAAATTGTGAGTTGCCAAAGTATAGCAACAAAGAGGACACGTATATCATAAAATAAAATATAAAAAAAAAGGACACGTATGAATGATTAGCAACCAGGCCACATACATTGTAGATGAAACACATGGTCCGATGATATTGTGAAATTCAATAGTGACATCAAATTCTCCCGAACATCGAGGTGTATAACAATTTGTTATTTGAATAATTTTTTTCATAAATATCATTAGAATAGAAAAATAAAAAAATGGAACAAACGTTTTCACAAACTAAAATTAATTTATATATAAGTTAATTTGTAGAAATATTCTTGTAAAATTGTGCATTATTAATAATTGTTGGTCTGATTAAATTATGTGTTGTGATGATTTATTATTTAATTATTGAAAAATTATAGGAATTAAGAAATTCTCATAAGTTTTGGTTATTTAGAAGTTTTTTCAAGCAAAGATCAATTTTTACTTGTTGGAAAAAGATATATAAAGTCTTTCTTAAGAAATGCAATTTATAAGTTCAATTTCTTAAGAAAGTTAGAGAGGAGTTTTGGAATTAAGATTTTTCCCTCTTTTTCTAAGCCTTCTAGAGAATGAGATTGTGTAGTTGAAATTGTAGTCAAATTCCATGCCCAACTCCATTTCAGATAGAGAGTCTCTGCCTGACTCACACTCAATGTCACTCTATTGGTGCTTGGTGTCACTTTGTTGGTGCTTGACACTAATCTAGACACAAACAATTCTCTCTTTTCATGTTCAACATCATTCAACTTAATGATCGACATGTCCAAATTAGAGACAATTCTCTCTTCTCACGTCCAACGCCACCAATCCTACGTCTGATATCATCATAATAGAGAACCTCTTATTTGAGCCACATTGGTGTCATGAAGGCACACTAAGTGTCATGGTGAATTCTGCACTTGTAGATTCACTTGAAAATTATAAAATTTCCAAAATGCAACATACAAAAACATACTCATTCGCCTCAAATGACTCATTTCCAATAAGAAACTCAACATGCAACCAAAGATCACTCTAAATCATCAAGTTATCCTCTTTGAAATAACCACACCAAAAATCAGCCACCCAACTTCAAAATCAGAAAATTCAATAACATATTTACACTTATGCAACAACTAATTCATGGATATACACCATTAACAACGCAAATTCAATCTCAAAATCAACATGTAACATGAATTAATCATCAAATCTCTTTGACATGCTCAAAAAGATTATAAACCTCGCCACACGTGGATTCAATCTTTAAATCACCCACACAACTACAAATTGGTATAATTCAACAAAATGCAACAACAAAATCATCCAATGTTCAAGTTATAGTTTCCCTTACCTAAGAATCAAAGAGAAACAAGGAAGAAAAGGAAGAAGAATGAGTTCTCAGCAACTTGAAAGCTCCACACCAACACAACCTTGATTCTCAGTTTTCTAAGCTTTGAATCACCACCTAATAATAATCCTTATGCACTTGGGAGGCCTACAAAGAAGGAGAAAATTCTCAAAAATTGCAAAAATCTTTTCTCTAATTTATCTCCCTAAGATTCTTAAAAATGAACTTATGAAGCTCAATTCATAAAAGAAACCTTATATATTCTCCCCTCAAGGTTAAACTAGACCTTTACCCAAAAAAATCTTCTAAACGATTAAAAAATCCTAAGGAATTCCTTAATTCTTGAGTTCCCCAACATTAGGCCCCCAAGACATCTCAACACATAATTATTGATAAAATGCAATAATTAACACACAAAAAAGTAAAGTGTTACTTGTGGAGTAAGTGGATCTTTTATATAGACTTCCCTAAGCACTATGACCAAAGAAGCGAGTTGTTGGTCTTGATTCAAGAGTGGGGATACTCCAAATTTGGTCTCCATCTGCTTCAAAGATGTGATCAACTTCTTGGCATTCTTCTTCATCTTCTTTGAGAAGAAATTATATTCGGCTACAATTCTTTCAATGCTTGAATCCCCCTTTCTCCTTCTAAGAGCAGAATGAAGGGATTGAACATTTTCCTTAATTTGTAACATGGTGTCCCTTGTGATGCCACATACATCCAAAATTCTCACTGAACCATCCAACAATTCTTCCATGCATTTCTCACCTTGATGGTTGGAAATCATCTTTTGAGTTGATGGCAAGTTGAGAAGACCTTCCAAGCAAATATGCAAATCTTGAAGCAAGGACAAGCCAATGCCAATTGACTTTGATGTGGAAGTGGATGTGGCTTTCCAAGTTTTGAGCTTGCTCAGCTCTTCCTCTACTTTAGAGATGCTAGGATGAGATACAGAAGGAAAACTATTTGAGCGAACATGGAACTTGTTTGCCATGATTACTCTTTTTGTTACAAAGGAAGCTCAATGTTTTTGTGCTCTCACCAATCCCTTCACTCTCTCTATATAGGTGAAATTCATAATTCAATCCTTTAGGTCAACATAATTGGCAGCACAGTTAACATTTTGTAATCAATGTGAACATGTGGTACCAGCACGTGTTTCCTAATAATTTGGTGAACTTGTCACATCTCTGCCAAACATTGTGCACTTTTATTTGTGATATAATAAGGCCATAATCATTGAAATGGGTTTGTGATGCATGACTGGCATGTCCTCCTAGTGTTGGCAATCAGAAAGCCTCATTAGTCATCACCAACTTTGCCTCCTTTGCTGCCACATTGCCTCTTCATTTCAAATATAAAAATGGTGTCGTTTCAGCTTCAAGAATATGCATTACTTGGCTTGTCTCAATGGCAAGGAGCTAAAATTGCAATATGGTGTAATAAATTAATGGCTTATATATTGATGAGATTCGGATCTTGTGGGGTATAACAAATGGACAACAATTTGAGTTATATACAATTTTGAATTTTTTATATTTCAATTTGGAGAATAAAATGATGGGTTATTTCGGTTGTGCACAAGTGGCTTGTATCACTTATGTCTCCCTTGTTGATGTTACCAACTCTTTTGTTATTTCATTCTTTCTAGATCACTCTTCAATCCGGACAAAAAGAAACTTAATGCCATGGATTCTGTCACTGCTACACGAGCCAGCAAAGAATCAAATGTTTCCAAATATTCCCCCAAATCCCCTTCCTGTTTCAATCTTGCTAACTCCGCAACCGGGTCATCAAATGCACTGTCATCAAACCGATATGCCACATCTTGTAGAATTTGTTCCCAAGATTTATCCTTGAATCTGGGTTGCTGCATATAATGTCTTTGCCATGAGAAGGCTTTGCCATCCATGGATAAAAGCAGTAACTTCCCACGTTGTGCCATCGGGGTATCCTCTAATTCAAAAAACTGCTCAGCTTTTGCTCTCCATTCCCGAAAGTTGGTTCCATCGAATGTAGGGAATTGAATGTGCGCTCGTTCTATTACTGATTGACTGGAATCTGCTGTGTTTGTGACACCTGCTTCGTTTGTCACGATTATGTTGCCGCCATTTATGGATGTTATGGAAGAGACGAGACTCTCTATCATTTTCTGCAGCGAATCCAAAGTTTTCTGGGTTGATTCTTGTGCGTCTGTAAATTTCTGTTCAAATGTCTCCATGCGGGTTTCGAGTTCCTTCATGGTCACCATTGTCCCAAACGTCCCACGCTAACTGATACCAATGTCAGGGTTATACCTGCTAACCTTGGTTGCACTCACTCATTCACAATTCTCTTAGAAATTGTAGAGGAAACTGAATACTGAACTTCTTATTTTCATAATCCAATTCTGTACAATAAGGTCTATTTATATTTCTGACTTCCCACAGATACAACCTTTTCCCCGGGCCATAATCCTAATTTCAACCAAAAAACAACTAATAACATAATTAATCCTATATTTTTAATTCCCATAATTTCCCATTATTACAAGAACACACCACACCAAAAGCCATGATCATCATGTGTGTGGATTTTGGGCCCTCTCCTTAGCTGTTGCTTTCCTTTCCTATTTTGCCCTTGTATTTTGGGGTACATTAGCTATTAGGATTTTATTGTGTATTTTTATTTAGCCTTTGTATTATTGGGCAAAAATAGGCTTAGGATTTATTTAGGGACTTAACCTTGACTAGTAAGGTCAAAAGTCCATTTCTTTCATTTTCTAGGACTAAGGGTACTTTAGTCTTTTTGGAGAGATGAGAGCCATTTCATTTGGGCTGCATCTAGGGTTCATTTAGGGTGCATTTGGACTTGAAATTTTCGGCCAAATGCTCCCAAGAAACCCTAGGATGCTCTCCTATCTTTGTTGGATAATCTTAAATTTCTAGAGATATCCGAGATATCCGAGATATTCGAGATATCCAAGATATCCGGGATATCCGATTTAGTTATCTGGAATTATTTGATTTTGAGTTATTTGGTTTCAGATTAGATAAGATAGTTTTTTGGTAAGTTTTGATTTGATAAGATATTTTATTATCTTCTTGTTAATTCAGTACGTTGTACAATGGCTATTTAAAGGCCATCTCTTATTCAATAAAAATCACAGTGAGTTGCTACGATCACCCACAATTTTAGTGTTACTCGTCTCTCTTAGTTTTTCTACAGATAACAGGGATTGGAAGATAGACATGTTCATTGCAATGACTTCCCTAAGCACTATGACCAAAGAAGCGAGTTGTTGGTCTTGATTCAAGAGTGGGGATACTCCAAATTTGGTCTCCATCTGCTTCAAAGATGTGATCAACTTCTTGGCATTCTTCTTCATCTTCTTTGAGAAGAAATTATATTCGGCTACAATTCTTTCAATGCTTGAATCCCCCTTTCTCCTTCTAAGAGCAGAATGAAGGGATTGAACATTTTCCTTAATTTGTAACATGGTGTCCCTTGTGATGCCACATACATCCAAAATTCTCACTGAACCATCCAACAATTCTTCCATGCATTTCTCACCTTGATGGTTGGAAATCATCTTTTGAGTTGATGGCAAAATTATTTATACATTTTACATTTTTATTATTACACTTAAATGTTTTGCATTTCTTGTTCGTATGAAATCAAAGATATCGAAAATAAAAATTATAATTGTTGTATATTTGCCTACTTATTTCATTCATTTTCATGATTGATTATTTATAATATTTCAAATGTGATGTAGGAAATATTTAAAAAAAATTAATAAAATTATTTTATTCCATTACAGCATGTGCGTTAGTGTATATGGCATACATGAATTGTCTCTCAATGAATTTTTATTTTTTATTTTAAAATCTAAATATTAATAATAATATAATAAATTATTTTTTATTATGTAAATTTAAAAAGGCTTATCATGCAAACTAAAAAAAGCTCACATATATATTTAAAAATATAATTATTAATTTATTTAAAATTAAATTTATGACTTATTTAATGTTGTTAAAGTAAAATTGACTTTTAAATAGGTTAACAGATAAATTCAAATTTTTAAAAAAAATCATATCAGACTTATAAAAAGAATCTATAATAAATAATAGGTGAAACTTAAATTTTAATTTTATAAAACATGTTTAACTTATATATTCAAAGTGTGGCCATGACTTATTTTATTTCCTAGTTACTAATTTTTATGTCTATTGTACTAATTAATTATTCTAGGTACTATAATGAATAAATGATATTTATTAATACTAGGATGGAAGAGACTTTGTGTATTTATATTTTTTTTACAAAATAAAAATAGAGATAATAAAAACTAGATAATAACTGAGAAAAATAAAGAGAATAAATAACTTCTGAATTGAGATATCTTTTGAATTAATGAGTAATAAGAATAGAAATAACTATCGGTTATAAAATGCGTTTGTAGAAGAAGAAAAAAAGAGGAAGAAAAGGATAGCAAAAATAATGGAGAAAAAATAGAAATAATTGTTATATCTTTATTATTATTGAAGTGTATATTAGTCATAAAAAAAAGTGTAGAACAAAATTAGTAATTAAATATCTTTTATATATAAAAATATAAAATAAATTTTTATAAATTTACAAACATTCACAAATATATGTATATATAAGAAGAAATATTTATTCAAAATTTTAGTGTTGATAATAAAAATATAATTTATTATATAAAATATGTAATAATTCAAAACTTTTCTTTAATAAAAAAAATAATTGATGAAGAAATTAGTTATGATTTGAAATATATCTTTATATTTTTGGTGTTTATTATGAAATTTTGAGCAATTAAAACAACATAAAAAAAATATCTTTGACTAAATAACTAATTAAAATAAATTATCGATTTAATGATAAAAATTAAGATAATATAATTTTAGATTCAAATTTTATTGTGATCAATATAATTTGGATAGATAAAAAAATTAATTAAAATTTTACTATATTAATTTATATTTTGATTGGTCGTCTACACTCTACAGTAAATTAAAATCATTTATTTTAAAAAAAAAAAAAAAAAAGAGATAAAGTCTACAACAACTTTTTGGATCCAGAATTAAAAGTAAAGTTAACTTTAACTAAAGCAATTAAGCACAATTAATGAGTTTAATTAGACACGATACTGAAAATGATAATAGTACATAATCACTTATTGGATGGTGACTAATTAGTAATTACAACTTCTAATATTTATTTTTCTAAATAAATATTCTGTACTCTGGCAAATGAATAATTTTTAAAAAAATATATTAGTAAAAGTTATATATTTACAAGTAATTGCACATACATATAAAATATGGTAAAATAATATTTAAAATTTTAGTTAATTAGTAACAAAAAATATAAAATTTTAATTAGTAATTACTAATTATATTATTTATTTTTTTAAATAAATATTTTGAGTACCCAGGCAAATGAATAATTTTTAAAAAATATATATCAGTAAAAGTTATATATTTACAAGTAATTGCACATACATATAAAATTTTATAAAAAAAATATTTAAAATTTTAGTTAATTAGTAAAAAAATATAAATTAACATATAAATTTAATACGTTATTCAAAACTTTCAATTTAAAAGTTTTAAATTTTATTTTTAACTGACAAAATATTTATCCATGATATGTATATGTATATTTATATTTAGTGTTTAGTCTTGAATATATTTTAAGTCTTTATGAATATGATTATTTTATTTTAGTCTTTACAAATCTTTTCATCATTTTTAGATCTTTCATTTTTTTTAATATGCTTATTTTAAGTTCATGCTGCTAATTTTTTTGTTAATTTAGTATCGAATAACTAACAAAATGAAGAATATTAATTAAGTTAATTAAGATAATAAAAAATATTTTAAATTGATATAATTATATTATTTTTAAGTACATAATTTATTTAAGTTAAATATTCATTATATTTATTTTACATAAATAAGATAATTACATAAAACTTATTTTTATATTTTTAATTTTTAATATTTTACAAATGTTTTTTATATTATAT